TGAAATTGCATGTCTCTCATGAAACAATATGTAAACATTTAAGGAATATGGCAAAACTCCATAAAGAAGGTGTTTGAGTGCCTCACAAACTCTCCAATGATAATCGTTTCCAACGTGTGAATGGTGCTTCGTCTCTTCAGGCGCGTAATGCGTGTGAACCATTTTTGGACAGAATTGTCACCGGTGATGAAAAATGGATTCTCTATACGAATATCAAATGGTAAAAATAATGGCTCAGTCCTAGACAAAAACCACTTCTGACCCCAAAACCTGGACTCCATCCACAGAAAGTGATGCTTTGTATTTGGTGGGATGTCAAAGGAGTAGTTCATTTTTAACTCCTCAATCCACAGCGAACTGTCAATGCAGAAATCTATAGTCAGCAACTGGAACGTTTACATCAAGCCCTTCATCAGAAACGCCCTTCCCTTGTCAATTGGAAAGGTGTTCTTCTTCCTCACAACAATGCACGTCCACATGTGGCACGTTTGACGCAACACAAGATTATGGAATTGGGTTGGAAAGTTCTCCCTTACTCATCATATTCTCCAGATATGGCACCATCAGATTACCATATTTTTCGTTCACTGCAACACCATCTTAATGGGAAAACGTATGTAAATGTGGAAAGGTTTAAAGAGGACATCGACATGTTTTTTTTGCTTCAAAGCCAAGTGATTTCTTTAATCAGAGCACTAACAACCTGATTGTAAGATGGAAAGCATAATCGATAAGAATAGAGACTATTTCATTTAATAAATGTTTCGGTTTGATATATAAGTTGTTTGGGTTTTTCATCTAAAAAAAAGCGACATTAATTTCTTGATGACCTAATACCTTTGTTTATCCTAAGTAGCTTTAAACTCATAACAGTATACATGTATTTATAATTAAATTTTATTGTTTTATTGCTCTTTAAATCGTGTCTAACTACTATTCGCACCATTATAAGTTGTAAATCACTTGGGGAATGTGGAAGTCACGTTACGCTATCAAATTATGTTACCCACAAACATTTTTATTATATCATTATTATTATTACTTATTTTACCTAATCTAACCTAAAGAGATCCCTATTTTTACATTTTAGTTACTTTTATAATAATGAATAAAGTACTTACCCGAATCTTCTTTTTTTTTCCTGTTGATTGTTAATGACACTTAACCCTACTTGTTTTATACTAATGGCAGTAATGCAGTAAATGATTTTTTATCTAATTAAATAATGCACCAAAGAACACAGAATAATAACATGCAAAAAGTAGACAATTTCCACTAACTATCACAATTTTTCTGGCTTTCTAACTTTGTGACAAGAACTGTTACAAAATCATATAAGCTAGTCGTTATATTTCCTGTGGGAATGAAGCTTGTACTAACAGTGAAATTGACAATTCTCCATTCAGAAAAGAACGTTATATAATACGTCATTTGATATATGAAAACTTTGCCTTTCTATTGATTATAGATAATACAGAATTAAACATAAGAGAGAACTATTCACAGATCCTGAAAGAGAGGATGTAACAGGTGGGTGTGGCAAGAGGGGTTTGATTTTCTATATGATAGCTCAGTAACCAAACAAAATTGAAGGCTATAAAAATTATGGTTTGGCTGAGCAATGACAATCTTATAGTGAGTAATTTAGGTTGAATGTTTTACTTTTTGGAGGGGTGGTGGATAAAGAAGAGGAGATGCCTAGAGAAAATGTCACACTAGGGGATATTCAGGATTTTTTTAAAATATTACCTTATAAAATTAAGAACTTAATTTTATGGATTATTATCTAAGGTTTTATATTATACTAATTGGTATAACATAAACAAAAAAGTAGATTAATAAAATTTTGAATGTAAGTCACTAAAACCTTATGACATGCCCAGTAAAGGATGTCCATCACGATAGGGTTAATCTCTGCATATGTCTTTGGCAACTCAAGTATTGCTATATAGTAGTCCCTCTTAGATATGACTGACCTATCTGTCATGATAAAAAAAAAAGCTGCATCTGACAGGAAGTTGTTATTCAAAGGATCAATAATCAGATAACCAAAGACCGAGTTCAAGCTGTGCCAGTTGCTATTCACAGGGGTTGAGCATAATGATTTATATACTGTATAGATAATCAGGTAATGTACAAATTGTATTAAAACAATTTCAATTTGACTAGAAATTCTCTGATTTCTATGTTTTGTTTATAGATCATGTATAACTTGGAACTGGTTGCTTTCATCACAGCTTTGGTCTACATCAACGTCCACATCACATTTCTATATCAACACTTTGAGGAGGCGAGTTTGAGCCTTCTTTTTTCACAGGGACTTTCTGCTCTCAGCTTGAGACATTTGCAACTTTCCCAGATGCTTTGAGGTATTTCATTAGCCATGCTTACTGCACACGTTAGTCAAGTCTGTTACTCAACAAACCATGAGTTAATAACCTTTACACCCCGCTAGTAAATTCTAATCAAGTTACTTAACATCTAGGCCACTATCTCAAAATCTACTACATTCACTAAAAGAATAAACCTTAATTCTGTGAGTGGGGTCAAACAACAATTTCTGACTGCCCCTGGTAACCTTTCAGGACCTGAAAGTTTTTAAACCAAAATACCTTTGTGCATATATCAAAGAATTTATTTGAACACCCCAGGATACCAAGATACATATACTAAGCTCTGAAGCAATCTGCATTTGTGTCATCTCTTTGTTTCATACTGTATACACTGTATTCATCAGTCTCTGTAAATCATGTTATTGATATGAAGAAAAGTCTATAGAGAGAGATCTTTATCTAACCTTCTGCCCCCCATAATCATGGTTGTATGTCGCATCTGTCGTTCATGGGAGGTGAGATCAATGTAAAATTGTTCCGTGCACAGAAAAGTCGTATTTAAAAGGAAGACATTATTAGGAGGGGTCGTGTCCACCAGGAACTTCTTTATCTCCCAACACCCTGGTTTACAAATCTTAGAATGCCTGGGGTGAGATATTTTTGAATATATATATGTATGAACATTTATTTAAAAACACATCAGAATTATTTACAGGTCACACATACTCTTGCATTATTCCTAGACACATTTCACCTTCTGTGCTGGATCTCCATGATATAGTGTTGCCCTTTAGATGTGGATGGAGGTTGCCATCTAGTGCCTGATGATGTCTCAGCAGGTACCTTTGTTACCTCTGCATGAACATCTTTGCATGGTATGAAAGATTTTATTAGATGTCTCTGCTCCAACCAGGATGGGTTTCATAAACTTTTATGTTTTCATTGCACTGTCCTTACATTGTTGATCCCATTCTTAGGGCTTAATTTGGTCTTTTTCAATTCTCTTGCTTTGTGACTCCCTGGCTAATTTAGATATGGATAAAGAGGGGCTACTGTCTCTAGACTCTGTTTTTTCTTAATATGTGTCTGGGCTGCTTCCCTGAGAACCTTCCTCCTACCTGTTTATACCACCACCCATGTCCCATTGTTGGCTGCACCAATGATATACATTATTGATCATTTGCAGAATTGATCACTGTGCCTAAATAAACAAGGCTGAAAGAATACTTTTTTCTTATTGTCCTTTAGGTTTAGTGTTTTTTTTTTAAAGTTGGGCCGCTACACTCATTTTCCCCTTGATTACAGTTCTAAGAATTTTTTTTGTTCTGAATTCTACTTCAACTCTGCTTGGCTACTTTTCTTGTCTTTCCTTTCTTTTTGTAGACTAAATAACTTATCTTCCTGCTGTGTAATTTTGATTCATTGGTTTCCACCTCTTTATAATGTGGATATTCTGGCTTTCATTGTTTCAGAAGTGTTTGATTTGAATTTTACATGTTTATAATTGAAATGAATTTCTAACAGGTACTTACCTATTAAATAGCTTCCCTCCTGCCTCTGCACAACCACATTTTCATCATGACTGCAACTTTCAAGCAAGTCTAAATTATGGCAGGAAAGCAGAACTTATGTAAGATCCACTGACACTTGCACAATAAGTCACAGGGATGGTTGGAGAGTGAAGTATTATGGGTAAGTGATGTATGGTATGCAAATACTTAAAAGACATTAAGAAATTTTGAGTCACATGTTTTGTTGACAGCATGAGTTCAAACTCGACAAGGAAAGGCATTCAGTATTTCCAAGGCAAGTACCTATTTGAAATTAATTTTAATTCTAAAAACGTGAAACTCATATAACCATGTTTTTCAGCAATATAGAATACAAACATGAAATGTCATCAAAGAATTATTGCTTCTTTCATTATACACTCTTCTTAATTTCATTCCAAAGTTCTTTTAATTACTGTTACGGTCTCCTGTTGGTGCTTGACCTGCTCTGGCATCAAGGAGACTAGCTTGCTGGTTCAGCAGTCCTTCTAAATGATGAGTAGATTAATTCAAGAAAATAATAAATAAATAATAATATCAAATAATTAGGTGTTAAATAAATAGATAATATAGGGTTTAAATTTCCTTACTCCAATTATGATGAGTAGTGACTTAAATATAATTTAAGGTTTGTTTCTTAAAGTGTAGTATGATATTAGAAATGTGATTAATTTATCTTTAGCTTCAAGAAATACAGTTACCAAAATTAATTATCCTGCAAAAGATTGTGTAGAGTTGGCCAACTGCAATTAAATGTGAGGAAAAGTTTTGTTAGTGGATTTTACATTACTGTATCTTAATGTAACTAAAACTGACAACAGTTTTGTAAATTGAAATATATCTGTATAAAAATCATGATAACATATTTCACTGAGAGTTTCAAGAAAGAGTATGAAACTTGAAGATGTTAGACATTTTAAAAAATCCCTATATATTTCGTTTTGTAAAAAATTACAAAATGATGTGTTCAGGTATGAATGAGTGTTGTTGTTTTTTTGTATATAATTTTGAAGTTCATTGAAGACCTTTCCAACTTGTACACAATACAGGGAATACACAGCATTCAACTTAGTTAACAGTTAGATGTTGTCATTCAGACATACACATTTAGCAGCACTAGTAGTGTAAGTGCTAATGATGATTTTACTTTTAATATTTATTAAAGAAGGCTGATTATGTTTGATATTAAGTATATATATAAAGAAGCAGTATTATATAATAATTAGTATATACCTTGATTTTGGTGGTTGCACACAAATCAGTGTATAAAAAGTACTTGCATTTCTGCTTCAAAAAATAAAGTTTGATAAAGCTGTCTTTACTGATGTTAGAGAGCTTTCTATTTTATTTTCAAGTGGTGTTAATTAATCTACATATTTCTGGTGCAATTGAAACTAATGATTAACCGGTTATAATGTTTAGAATTAACAAATAGAATTAGTTTTTAAGCCTTTTTTTATATTAATGTTAGTGTGAAAAATAATATTCAATAGCTTATAATGAAGATAATATCTTAGTAAATGCTAAAATTTTACTTTTTACAGTGAAGATAAATCTTAGGACATGGTAAAATTGAGCTTTTCATGTTTATGATCTTTTGAATGTTACTTTATATAAAACAGATAAAATGAAAATACACTTATGCTGAAGTTTAGGTTTCTTATTTGTTTGCATCTGATGTTTTTATCTAGGATTAGTGAAATTTTGATTTTAAGAGACACATTTCTTTCTTTTTACAGAACTGTTAGTTCCTGTTGAGATGTCTCAATGATCTTTCCTATTAAAAATAAAAAAGGCTTGCTTTGACATTGGAATAAGTGTTGCTGTTTCAAGTATAAGATTTCTAGCAGCAAGTTCCAGTGTAACCTGTTCTTCTTCTTTTTTTATTTTATTCAAGATTAGTCTTTTCAAATTGCTTATATTTAGTAACCTCTTGTAGGAGCTATCCAATATTGAACACCACTAGAGGGATGACTGAAACTCTTTCATATTGTATTAATGTTCATGAATTGGATCTACAGCGTGGCCCAAAAGTTGGTTGCCATGTAGTGTGGGTGATAAATTATTACATATTGTTACGTCTCTGTTCATTTGTTAATTTCTGGTATAATTTCTTTCCGATGAACTTCTGCGATACAAGTCGTTTCTTAAATAAAACTAATTTATTCTTTCTCGATACAACTTTGCAATACAAAGAATTTCCACAGTCAATACGTTTGCAATCTCGATAACAAAACACACTTTATATTACCGTCACTACCGCTCGCTTGACTCAATTATCTGTCTCTATCTCTCTATCTGCAATTATTTGCCGGACTTATATACTAAAATAGAGGGCACCTGGAAAAGACTAGAGTTTCCAGGAAAAGTCACGATCCTTCAAGAATCTCATCGCGTGTTACCAGCGTCACGTGACTTCCGCTGTCGTAACAATATTCTTCTTTGCTGTCACTCACAAGTACTTAGAATTGTAAATTGATTAGTATCACATACTGTTTCTTGTTTCTTTGCATGATTTTTTAGATAGTAGCACTGATCAGTAATGAACATGGGAGATGATCTAGATTGAACATCTTAGTGCGATATCAATTTGGAAGACACACATTTTGTCTATGTTCAGCTTGTGGCACCTGACTTTTGGGATATTTCTTTCAAGTGAAAGATGGTTCTCATCACTTGCTATAATATGTTCAAGATAACCAATTTTTATTTCTTAGTACAGGTATATCTAACTGTTTTTTGGACTTTCTTTTCACCATATTTACCATGGGTGACAAAAGCTAATGCTGTTAAAAGGGGTTTTACTAAGTAATATTGACCTAGGAAAAAGAACACAAAACTAGCAGGTTGTAGCATGTATTATATTTAGAGCCATTTTTACATAAAGTTGCTTTTTTGATGTTTTGGCCCCTATTCTGAGATTAATTCTAAAGAAAAAATGTAATGATGTTATATTAACAAATATTTCATATTCTGTTTGTGATTTCAGGTAGTATTTGAACTATTTTTTTATTACGTGATATAAGTAGAATTTACTTTCTATTTATGTGGCAGTCTGGTGCTACAACACTCAATTAAGCTGAGCCAGCAGGCTCTAGTTAGTGATGTGACAACATGACTAGTTAGTACATGTGGAGGTGCATGAAGCCTCAGTTTTAAGAATTAAATTAATATTACTTTAAGTAATTTATTGAATGTAACTTATTTTAATTACATAGTGAAATACAAAATAACTTAGGAAATGTTTGCTGTGTGAAGTAATTATGTAACAATAGTATGAGTTTGTGGGTAATTATGTATTAATTTCTGTAAATTATGGAATTTAATTAGATGTGGCCCGTCTACATTATTCATTTTCTACACTGGCTTCTCGACTGTCCCAAAGTTATTTTACAGAATAGTTTACTGCATCTCTTATTCATGTTTCCAGTCCTCCTGCTCCGGTGCCATGATCCATTGGAACACTAAGGCAATTTTGACCTTACCAGCAAAGACCGTCCTCCAAGATGGAAGACAGATTTTGGTATTGGCAACTACTTTATGGAGTCAGGTTCTGTAGGGTCTCATCTCAGAGGGTTCGTATCTGTATGGGAGACATTCAACAAAGATCAGTGGGTCATTCAACTTCTCAAGAGGGGATTGGGCATTCAGTCCATGTCTCCTCTGTCTTGTGACAGAGATGAGTAACTTCATTTCTTTCCTTTTCAAGGACCTTCTCATCATTCTCATTTGGATCCCACTCAGTGACAAGTGTTGCTTGTTCAGGGATGTTTTTACAAATCTTCACCAGCTACCAGTAGATTAACAACCAGTGATGGGTAAAGTACTGAAAATATTTACTTGAGTAAAAGTACTGTTACTTTAGAAAATCTTAACTCAAATAAAAAGTAAAACTACTAAATATATACAGTACTTAAGTAGCAATAAAGTAGAAAAAAAACAAGTAATGATGGCATTATTAAAAATAGCCTACATTCAACTTAAATTCACACTTAAAAAGCACTAACAAATATAAACTCAACAAACTTTATTTTATTTTTATCAAGTATTACTATCTGTGGTACAGCTCTTCACACACTCCACTTACTATTTAGCTTCAGCAGCAGCTGATTTTCAAATTTCCTACTATAACAGATTAGCTCATCTCTGTGTGAACAAGAGTCCTGCAGAACTAAACAAACACTTATATGCTTCAGAGGCAGGCAAGGGGGTCTTTACAATAATTGAAGCTTTTAGGATAGATGGGAAACTTTTTAGAATCTCCATACTGACTGACGTGTTCGCCAGGTAACCATCTAACTCTGGTCTCATTATTGGTACAGGTCTTCAGAGACGAAAAGAAATCTTCATCATCTGATGAGCTGTTGTGGGGATCCCGATCCAAAATTTCTGTCAGTGCTTCCTCTTGCTGCCTGATGTACTCCAAACCTACCATAGAAATAATAGCCATATTGGGGATAATATACATAACAGAGTTCAATACTACACAATAATAAACGTGACACAGAAACTCTATTTACTAATAGTAGGGATTTGATAACCAGGAATTTTAATTAAATCTCTCTTTGGGTGGGTTAGGCTCTATTTAGCACAATTCATTTTTGTAATGTAAATTGATATTACTATAAACAAATGTATGCTTTTGAACTGTTAAGAATCTTAATAGCAAAAAAATTAATAGTACATATTTCCATTAGCAATGAGCAATGACATGCTAAAAAAAAAGAAGTAAATAAGAAAGAGAAAGTACGATCATATTCTCTAACCTTTTTTGATTATCCTATCATCATTAATCCATGCAGTCTTGAACCTCGGCAACAAGACTGCAGCAGTGATCAGCTCTGCATCCTCCATCGTGTAGCCAAAGATTCCACAGCACTTACAAGTGGTGTACAGAGCTTGATATTTCCAACCTTAGTCAACAGCGAGTAGATTGTGGGCAGTAGCCACCCTATCTGCGTGTTTTTCTCAGATTGTAGGAAATCCAGTGCCGTGGCCACAGGTTTCATGTTGACATAGAACTCTGTCAGGAATGCCAGCTTCACAGGATTCAACCTGTAGTTTATATGGTTTTAATCAAATACTCTAATACAAAACCAATTACACAATAAGAAACAAAATGGAATCATGCTTTAAAAAAAGACTAATCAGTAAATCACAAAAGGTGTTGGGATAGAAAATGCAGTATAGGAAAGGTCATAACTGTTAACAGTGATTCCTTCAGATAATATCAATTCTATATTTAGCTGGATAGAACATAGAAGAACCACAATGTCAAGTATAATAATTGTTATGTAGCATGTAAATTAGCCACAAGGTAAAAAGAATACTGTAATCATCAATATGTTACTCACATTTTGATCTTAAATTCAGCACAAACATTCCTGATGGAGTCTTCGGGTTCTCATTAGAAATCCGCAAGCTCCTCTCCATAGTCAGGTACAGGGAGTTCCATTGACTCTGATTGGGATGAATAAACTGTAATTGGCATTGATCATCAACAGTTTCTGAGGCTACTGCTGATCACCCAGTTTTGTTCCTAAGTTCTTGGCACTTGGTGATCTTGAAAGCTTCTTACAGTAGGTGTCATTAGATTCAGCCTCCCTGATATCCACAGTTGACACAAGGTTCAACAAATGGCAAGCACAGCATTGATGTTTTGGGAGCTGGTTATTGAGGCTGTCATCCTTCTCCAGAATAGTTGCAGTGTCCTCAAATTGTTTTCCAGAATGTTTCTCTTGATCTTCAGTCATTTGTTCCATGGCTTCATTATCTTGTGAATGGCCTTCCTTGTTCTCCATTGCATTGTCAGCCCCATACCACTCAAAAGGCTTTAACAAAATTCAAGCCATTATCAGTAATGATCTTGAGAATCTTGTTCCTAATCCGAAACTCAGAATGGATGTCATTTAAGTTACTGGCCAAAACATCAAAGGTGATTGAGCCCTTTAAACACCTACATGCCAGTGCAGCAGATTGTCTCTCTAAATTCACGGGGTCTATTCATTGAGTGGTCACACCAATGTAGCTGCATCTCTTTGCTGTCCAGCAGTCTGTGGTGGTTGCAATATACTCACTTTACTCATCGCATCGATCAAATTTTTCTTCATATATTTAGCAGCAGCTTTGATCTTTGAGCAAACAGTCTTCCTTGTAATGAGGTCATATGAAGGTTGGAGTCCATGAAAAAGCTGGTGGAATGCTGATAAAACAACAATGCTGAAGGGTTGAAGGCTCTGAGTAATGAAGTTAATCAAAAGCTTATTGATTGTCTCTTGTGATGAAATCCTGAATACTGCATGGGACATAATCTTGGTCTGATTGCTTGACGAGGAAGAATCTTTTTTCTCAATTTTCTTCTTCTGAATTGGAGCAGTCAACTCGATGTACCTCTGGAGCTGATGTTCGTGGATGTGCTGAAATTAGAGACCAGATATCACGAAAAATCTTTTTCTGTCTGTTTATTTTAACAAGTATAATTTAATTAAGCTATTCGATACACCTGTGTGTCTATATATGATGCAAAACATTATGATTAAATATTTAGCCTATGATAAAAACAGGGTGCCCCCTATGAAGTACAAGCATAACCTTATTGAATTTGAAATACGCATTTTGAAAAACTTACCTCAATGTATTTCTTTAAAGTTGAGGGCGACTTGATGTATGTGTTGAGTTCCACCACTTCTGGCTTACACAGGAGGCACTGCAACTTCATTGAATTTCCCATTATTGTTTTCAGTGAAAATAAATATTTCTAATAAGGCAACAAATGATTATTTGTGTGAGACATGATGGTCACAGTGGGACAAAGTTATCACAGTCAACACTAAATGTTTTAAATAGCTGCATTTTGTTCCTGCTCAGCAGCTCTGCATGTGATTGTCTTATTTGAAATAGTAGGCATGCCCTGATTGATGTAAACAAAATCTATCACCATGGCAACCAGTATGATTTTTCTCCAATTTTTTCAAATGTAATGACGGTCTTTAAAAGAAATGTAGAGGAGTTAGGTAGATAATTTCTTCTGGATTTTACTTAAGTAAAAGTAAAATATTTTTTAGAATACTTAAGTAAG